GAGAGTCAAATGGAGAGAAAACAATCTCTCAGGATTTCACAGAGAGCAAATTGGGCAAGCAATAGCCATGACTCATCCACATGGCTGACACTGACAAAGAATCTACAAACTGTGGTACAGGGTTTCAGGGTAAATCCTGAGGTTATTTGACTGACCTAGTCAGATACAAAAGTTACATTTATTGTTATATAGGTCTTGCTTTATCTTGGTCTTAACTATCCAGCAAAAACGTATAAAAACTAGATATAAAGAGTAAAGCCATATTGATATGCTGAGCTGTAAAAGACTCAAGTCAACAACTTCTGATATTGCCAGTCCTATGGATAAACCACTACTATTATGGACTACTGGACTATATTGGATTATTTCACTCAATTCATGCACCTACAATATTTAAATGGCAATGGAATACACATCTCTGACAAAACTAAACAAAAAAGGGGATACAAATGAAGGACCATTTTGTATCTGTATATACAAAATAGTTATGATATATATATACAGCTACTTTCACTTAATTCAATGGGAAGAAAGATTTGTACTAATAGTGTTCGGACAGGATATCATCATGTCTGCATCTTGTAATATGAATACTAAGAAGACAACAATATGCAATATATTAATTACTGAAGCTGCCCTACTAATCAGTTTTGAAACTGTCTCATTGCTATTTGTTTCTCAATAAAATTAATTTTTTAAAAAAGGTTTTAACAGTTAAATGTTATAAGCTTGTTCTTGTTGTTTGAGACAAAGTCTCGCTATATAGTCCAGGTGATCCTCCTGCCTTAGCTTCCTTCCCATTGAGATTATGGGCTTGTGCCACCACACACAAAATTATAATAATCTAAATCATTTAGATTTTGGTTATTTGTTAGTTTCTAGTTAGTGAAAAATGAAAATAAATACAAAAATACCTTTCTAAGAATCTTAAGAATAGCTTACTTTCTCTGTAGGATTCAGTCCATTTTATCACCTGTTTTGGTCCCATATTTGTAATTACATAGATATTTTTATTAATCTAAAACTTAGTTTGCAGTAGAATATATTCTTTCATAAAGTTTTCAGATTTCAAACTTTATGGTAATATTATTTCTTTTTTTGCTTTTATACGAAGGTCTGTCCTTGAATATGTGAAGTTCTTTTAAAATATTTTGTAAGGTCCGGCCAAATAGCTCAGCGGATTAAAGTGCCTGCAAGCAGGCACAGGGGTCAGGGGTTCAATTCCTGAGCTTGCCATGCCTGTAAACAGGCATATTACTACAAGTCTGATGTAGTAGTGAGACCCTGAGCACCCTGTAGACCCTTCCCTCAAATACAAAAAAAAAAAAAATTGTAGAATTTTATTTTGTGACAAATTTGAGGGGCTAGGGTCTTTGAGCTAAGATTAATTGAACATATATTATCCATTTAAAATTCTTATCAAAGAATATAGTAACTTTGTATTCACTTATGTGTCATGACTAATGATTTAACAGTAGAGTCTGCTAAATTTTATCTTTTCAAAGTAAAATTAGTCACTGCAATGTATAATGCTGGGACAACTGGATATTCATATGCAGAAGAGTGAAGTTGAACCATTCTGTCACACCATATATACAAAATTGACTCAAAATGGATTATAGGTGTCAATGTTACAGCTAACATTAAAACTTTTCAAGGGGAAAAACATTAAATATCTGTGACCTTGGACTTTTTTTTTTTCTCAGTACCTTGCATTTGTAAAGCAGGCACTTAAGCCACTGAGCTATCTCCCCGGCTAGGTAATCTTTGTTAGATATAAATGACATTTTATGCCAATTAAAAGCATATATATTTCTTTTTTTTTTCTTTTTATTTTTCAACAAATAATACACTGCATATATTCTAGGATTTTTTTTTTTTTTTTTCCTCGAATGCCTTCAGGGCACTTTTGGCCAGCGGGAGAGGTGTGAGGTTCAAACTCCAGCAACCTGAGGCTGACAGCTTTGTGGAAGCAGCCACTTAAAGGCCTGAGCTAGGGCCAGGCCCCCTAAAAGCATATATATTTCAAAAACTACTCCCATGAAAGTAAAAACACAAATGACAGTAGGGGGAAACTTTTAATGGTCATTTTTATACATCCTAAGATTTCTCTTACTCTTCTTTTTTTAGTCATGACTTATTTCTAATTTAAATGTCATTTCAGTGCTGCTGTGGCATGTTTGGGTTCCTTGTACAAGAAATTGGGCAGAATATTGGGTGACACCTTTCATGATACAGTGGGGAATATTTTGAAAGCTATGAAAAGTGCAGAGGTGAGTACTAAGTTCAGCTGAAAAATGGCAACATGATAGCATTTTATATTTTAGAACAGGGTTTACAGGGTATACAGGGCTCACTGCATAGATTGGACTCGTAGTAATTCTGTTTTCAGCCTCCCAGGCACTCGGATTACAGGCACGTGCTACCATGCCAAGTCTCAGATGCCATCATAGTGCACCCCAGGGGCAGGGCCGGCACGGCATGCCAAGGATCGAACCCAGGCTGCTGCTCTCTGCCTAAGCAGGCGCTTTAGTCCACTGAGCTATATGGCCGGCCCTGATAGCATTTTATAGACTTGTGCTTTCTGCAGTTAATAGAAGAGCAGTATATAGTACTCGCCTACATAGATATCCACATAAATATATCTAAATTTATTTTTATATATCTGTAAATTAAATATTTCTAAATGATATATATTGCATACTGTGTATATTGGATCCTTCTTAGAAATGTATAATACAGACCGGGGAGATGCTCAATGGAATAAGCACTTGCCTGGCAAGTGCAAAGGTCTGAGTTCAATCCCCAGTTCCGCCAAAAACACAAAACAAAACAAGGCCTGCCTGGTCTCAAAATACCAGGGAAAACAAAACAACAAAAAAACACCTTCATAACGTACTGTAATAAGGAGTGAAGTAAGCTGTGTAATAAAAATCTAGTTGTAAAATTTTAAAAAAAAGGAATGTATAATACAATTGAAAATAATACAGTACAATCTTGTGTGTTCACATAAATCCAAATGTGCAGAAGCTAAGAAATACTATTTATACCGAAGTAGTGATTACTGGTGACTTCATATTTGGTAACTAATATAAACCTTGTCAATAGATTAGTTGTTATACCAACATTACAAAAAAATAAAAAGTATTTTCAGGGAGAAAATGCATAGAGAGGAATTGGGTGACTTTTTAATTGCCAAGGGAATACATGCTCAGCCTTGTCCTCATTGGTGTTTCATCATTTACTTATCTGTAATGTTCTTTGAGATTCTCTTGTCATTTAGCTACCAAGATACCTAATCTCTTGACAACTGTAGTTTTACCACTTTTGACATAGTTACCTATACATTCATAGTACAGAAATTTAAATATATGACTTCTGATAAAGGTAACTCAGCAACTTTAAATATAAAAAGAAAATCGCATTACTCTTCCTGTCTTATTAAGAGCAATTTAGAAGTAGTTTACAGAAATGCTGTTTGTTCATACATTTTTTGAAATGTAATAAAACAACATAAAGTTATAAACTTTTAAATTTCAAAAAGTAAAAAAAAAGTATATAGGTATCTTAGGGCAAGTCATAATTGGTAAGAGAATCTGCTGAGTAGACTTCTCAGCACTGGTTTCTGAAGGATCAAAGATAATTCTGGAGAAGAGATTTTTCTGTAAGTACAAATTTGGTTTTATTGAAAAGTGAATGTATATAAAAATTCTTATTTAGTGGCTTGTAGACATTTAAAACACTTTCTACCTTTTTAGGCCCTGTGGTTAATAGAGAATTATTCTGTTTGTATCAAAAAATGTAAAGTTACTGTTGAGTATTTTATCACTTATATTTTTACCTTTATATTTTAGTTGGTCATGGACCATACTATTTCAGCTGTATCAAAAGAAATTCCTGCTTTTACCCACACCCATCAATGGTACACAACATTTGAAACTTTAATAAAAGAGATCATGGAAAAAATTTTTCCACCAGAACTTGTTTTATTATTTCTACCTATATCTTTTTTTTTTTTTGTGGTACCAGGGATTGAACTCAGGACCCTGTGCTTGCCAGGCAAGCGCTTATTCTACTGAGCTGTCTGCCTGGCCCCTAAAGAAATGACTCCCCTCTCCCCGTACCAGGGATTGAACTCAGGACTTTGCACTTGCCAGGCAAGCATTTATTCCACTGAGCTATCTCCCCTACCTATAACTGTTTTGATCCAAACATAAATTATATTGTTGTGAAAGAGATGCTTGGTGCAGATCTTTTGTCTTCCATTTTCATTGACCTTAACTTCTGGGGATACAAAAATCATTTTGGGCATTTAGCAAAACATCAATAATAGAATCACAAGCAGCTTAATTTTTTGATTATTTATTATGTGAGATGTTATGGTGAATGTCTAATCCTTAGATCCTTAGGAGCTTGTTTATTCCTTCTACTGGTTCTGTGAGGTTCATCCTGTAGTCTCTCTTTTTTTCTGCGGTACCAGGGATTGAACCCAGGACCTTGCATTTGCCAGGCAAGCACTTGTTCCACTGAACTGTCTCCCTGGCCCTATAGTTTCATTTTATAGATAAGGAAGTAAGAACAACTCATATCTCACAGCTTCTCAGATACAAGATTCAAACTTAAATTCTGAATTAAACTCTACCACCTGATGATGGAGTATGAGTAGTTGCTAAATTTGTTGCATATTTGTAATACGTCTATTATTCTAAACATTTATTAACCCGTTTATTCACTATACAACAGCTTATAAGTTGGATACTACTCCCTCTACTTTACAGGTAAACAGATTTAACCAACATTAGTAGACAGAAGGTAGCAAATCCTGCATTCTTACTGTGTTGTCCTTTATTACAGTAGCCACTTATCGAATGCTTAACATGTAAGCTCTACGGTAGGCACTTTTCATATATTTTCATTTGATCATCATATTAACCCAGTAAATTGTATGATTTTGAAGTTTTACCTATATAGACAACACTTTTCAAGTAGTAAATAGAATTATTTACAATTTTTTTTATCTCAGAATGACTTGGTTAATATGGATAAAAACATAAGTACTTTTATAATAAGTAAGAAAAATATCAGTGCTTATGCATGCTTCACAGTGGATTTGTTTTTCCTATTCTTTAAAATTTCTTTCTTTCTTTTTTGGTAGTCTCAAGGGCGATATGAGATTATGCTGAGTCTTCAAAATATTTTGAGTGGGCTAGGAACTGCTGCCACATCTTGCCACAGGGATATTTATAAAGCTGCTCGATCTTGCTTAACAGATAGATCCATGGCTGTGCGTTGTGCTGCTGCCAAGGTAAAATGTCCAATGAGAATTAATATAAAGAAAATTAAATTGGATAATCTCTGTGAAAGTATTAACAGGTACATAATTGTTAAACTTGCAGCTTTCATAGTCAAGTAGATCCACCTCACTTTAACATAAGAGAAAGCTATGTTAACATAAGAGAAAGGCCCAGACAGTTTTAAGGATTTCCCAAGGTTAAAGCAGTTAGTAACATTGTCAGAGGGTTAGGATGTTAAGGGCTTAGGTTCTTTTTAGGTATTCATTCTACTGTACTATGCTTCCTCTGCATATGTAGGTAAATTAATTTTTGTATGTGGGTTTATGTTCTTTTAAAATGATTTTATTTTTAATCTTACCTTAACATGTGATTCGGCAGTTCATCAAAATAACTTTGTGTTTAATATTGGAATTACTCTAACAGTTGTTCATATCCAAAAGATTGATTGTAAGGGCATTTTCATAAGCTACTAAGTTATAAGTGGGTACTCTTCTACATTTTGCAGCCTTATATAGTGTATCTTTTTTACTTCCAAAGTATTATTTCTGCAGTGATTATGTGAATACTTTTGTACTAGACCCTGTTAGCATGCCCTGTAACCTTATATAAGACTAGTATTTTATTGAATGCTTAAAGACCTGCAAGCCTCGTGCTAGACACTTTTTCACATAATTTCATTTAATCCTTGTATTCTTTTTGTTGACCCAGTGAATTGAATGATATTGAAATGTAATATATACAAATAACACTTTCAAATAATAAAGTTGTATATTTGACTCTTGTAATTTCTGTAAGTTAAATAGATTGAACCTAACACTTTATTTTTCATTAATTTTCTGTTTCTCTAATTGAATAGTGTCTCCTTGAACTTCAGAATGAGGCCATCTTTATGTGGAGTTCAGACCTGGACAGTGTGGCCACTCTGTGTTTTAAGTCTTTCGAGGGTTCCAATTATGATGTGCGAATTTCAGTTTCAAAATTGTTGGGCACAGTATTGGCTAAAGCTGTAATTTTTAAACATCTAGAAGCAGGTAAAGTCATGTAATTATTTCAAAATATCTCTTGTAAATTTTTTTCCCAGTAAATTTAAGCAAATATAGAAAAATACTGATAGCATTATAGCTATCCATTATCACTTTCAAAAGAAGCAGAATATAAATCAAGTTGAATTTATAAACATTGATGTACATCCCAGGACTTATTTCTCAAGCAATTCAGTAAAAATTTAAGGAAAAAAAATGCAAGGATTCTTGAAGTGTAATGATTTTCTTTTTAAATAATAAATTGTGGAATACTTGTACTACCCAATAAAAGACCTAAATTTCAGATACCTTTTTTTTTTTTTCTTTTCAAAGTTTTATTGATAAACATATGCAGATACCTTTTTTAAAGCTGCATTTATCTGGTTACATTTTTCTTATCATTTTCTAGATTGGCATAAGTGAGCAAATAATGCATATGTTTGATATTTCAAATTTAGTGTATTTGGAGAATTTGCTTTGTGTTAGATTTTGTTCCCCATTTATATACTTCTAAGCAGTAAGCAAGGATAGACTATTTCTTAAAACCAGAAAATTTGCCTGTGTTTAATTCATAGTGTACATAAAGCAGTGATGAACAATTGAAAACTTACCTTATAATTCTGTCTCCAAACAGTAAACAATTTTATGAATGAAAATGAAACTGTCTGTGGACCTGTGCTTCTTAAACATTCTGGAGGCACTGGAATCATCTGGGACATTTTAGTAAATGCAGAAACCTAGGCCCTACCTAATTCACTGAATCAAATTCTCATTTTAATAAGATCCCTAGATAATTGTCCCCAGAAAATTTGTGTTCACATTAAGTATTGATAAGCATTAGAGCTAGGCATGGTGTCATATAATCTCGGCCCTCTGAAGGCTGAGTTAGGAGGATCATCATGAGTTCAAAGCCAGCCTGTGCTTCATAGTGAGTTCAAGGCCAGCCTAAACGTTATATAGACACCCTGTGGAGAGAAGAGAAAGGGAGAGGGAGAGGGAGAGGGGGAGAGAGAAGTGGGAGAGAGAGAGAGCAGGCAGGCAGACAAGCAGACTTCGATAAGCAGTGCTTTAGAAGTCATTATCACTTTGTAATACAAAGTGGATTATAGTTTTTGAAAGCAGCATTTATCAACCAGAAATAAAAGAAAACAGCAAATACAACATATCACAATCAATTAGGAAACATTAACAAACTGTACAACTTATTTATTCTCAATATCTTTAAATTTAGGGTGATAATATTTTCTTTTTCTGTGATTCTTCCACTCTTTCTTATTTATGGTATGGGGTGGGCTACAAAGAAAAAATCACCAGAAACAACCAAAATAAACAAACCTAGACCAGATGTGGGGGGAAAAAAAGAAAGAAAGATAAAAATGTATTTAAGAGGTAAAATCTTAAGCCACTTAAGAAGAATCAGTAAGGTTGGGGATATAGCTCAGTGGCATAAGTGCCTGCCTAGCAAGCACAAGCTCCTGAGTTCAATACCCAGTACCACAAAAAAAAAAAAAAAAAAGAGTAGGTTTCACCTGTACCTTTGAAATATTATTTGTTATGAATTCTTTCATCTTTCATTGTAAGTTCTATTTTTGTGTTGTAATTAAGTTGTTTACATGCAATTAGAAAGTGATGTCGGTGTCATAATAGGCTATTTTAAAAGTAGATGACTGTGTTAACATATGTATTATATCTGAAGTACAATTTATATCATGAGGGTAGTTTCCAGTGACCTCCATGTTCACAAATTTATTCATGTGTTTGTTTGTTGGGTCTCGCTATGTAGGTAAAACTAGCCTTGATCTCATTATGTAGCCCAGGATTACAGAGATCTTTTGCACAACATTGTACTTACAGTCAACAATGCTATAATGTACACTTAAAATTTTATAAAGAGGGTCGAGTTCATGTTATTCTTAAAAAAACACAAGCTCAAACTCACAGAGATCCTCCTGCCTCAGCCTCCCAAGGGCTAGGATTATAAAGCATGTACACCATGCCCAGCTGCACAGGTGTGGGTTTGGGTGTGGGTGTGGGTGTGGGGGGGGTGTTAAGAATAATTAAAATTTAAACACTAAGAAGAATAAAAAAAAATTAAACACTAAGAAGAATAAAAAAAAAAAAGAATAATTAAAATGAACTCTGACTTCTGGAAGAGATATCTCATGTCCTAGCACTTGGTCATCTGCTCTTCTCTACATATGTTCTCTACATATGCTTGTTCTCTTAGTTTTGTTTTTGTCCTTGAGGCAGGGTTTCACTATGTAGTTCAGGCTGGCCTTGAACTCATTTTGTATGTAGCTCAGGCTGGGCTTGAGCTCCTCGTGATCCTCCTGCCTCACTTTCTTGAGTGCTGGGATTATAGGCATATGCTGACATGCCTGGCCATGTGCTTGTGTTCTTACATACTTTCACGGCTTAAATTCCACTGAATATCAAGGAAGACCAAATCTGTAGCCTAGTCTTCTCTTCTGCTTCATATCTAACTGCCCATTTGACATCTCAGTCATTTAAATTTCAATTAACTCTTTCTAAACCAAGTGCTTATTCTCTGTTCACATGTACATACATATATGTGCTCTGTTTGCACACTTAACTATCTTAAAATATCCAGAATTGGAACTCCTTGGAGAATGGGAAAGAAAGTCCAAGTTAAGCTTCAAAGTCTACAGCATCTTAGAGCAAAACGAAGTTTATGCTACAGGCATTTTTAGAGACTTCCACTGGTCAAATCCAGGGCTGTATTATGCAAATGAATAATAGAAATGGATTCTATTGTATTAAATGAAAAATCTGTGCATATACAGTGACTATAAAGGAAAAGAGAAAGCTTTTCCAGTGGAAGATGAATAACTATAAAAGGGATAGTAAATATAATCTTTTGTAGCTTGTCTGGTAGTGTATGCTTTGTAATTTCATACTTTTGGAAGGCTGAGATAGGAGAATCACAAGTTCAAGCCCAGCCTGGGCAACTTAGACACTGCTTAGTCACTTTGTTGTCACTAAGATACAAAATCCAGGACCTACAACTCATGTGGGGGAGGCTTTTCAATTCATGGCAGCCAGGATATAGAAGTTAAAAGGAGGAGAAGCCAGGAAGGGAGGTACTGTACATCCTTCCAGGCCATGCCCCCAGGAACCTCCCTTTTGTGACCAAGACCCACCTTCTAATAGCACATGTCACTGTGACATCATCAGTGGACTAATCCACATGTGAGTATGACAGCCCCATGATCCAGTCACTTCTCAAAGCCCCACCTACAACTTCATGAGGCCGTGGGGGTACATCTAGATATACATTATAAGAGTCATAAAATTAAAAAAATATAGGAAGAGCTGGTAATGGAGCTTAGCCAAAAGGCCTTGGGTTTAATTAGTAGTACTGACTTAAAAAAAAAAGACACTTTTTAGCATCATGGTAGTAATTTATAATAGTAGGGATCCTCAGTATATTCTTAGTTTGATGAGCTATTTATGGTATTTTGCCATCTTTGCAAATGCTAAGGTTATAGTGAACACATCTGACAGACTGACTTTACTGGTATGTCCAAAGCGAGTATCACCAATGCAAGGACAGACTAATACCTTTCTTGTCAGTGTTTTCTGATGTTAGATATTGAGGAAGATATAGTTATCACTTATGTAGTTCTCTGTTAGATTTCTGAGGAAATACCAGATACACTTCACATTGAGAGCCATTGTATGAAATATTTGGCCATAAATCTGTTCTTCACAGTGAGAAAGCAGTGATGAAAATATGGTGAGTTTAGGTGAAAGGTATATAAGAGGTTATTGTACTATTCTTGCAGCTTTTTTGTGCTTTTGAGGGTTTTTTTAAATTGAAAAATTATGAATAGATACATAGATATCCACACTATCACTCTTCTTCATTGAACCACCTTGATCCTCTTCTTGAAATAGCACATCCCTCCCAGTGGGTCTGCTATCTTTTTCCATTGCCCCTTGATAGCCTTCTCTTAGCACAGTAGCAAAGTGACATCTGATCTTCCCTTTCTCAGGGTCCATTTAAGTCACATCCTTACCACACTGATCTGCGACACAACCTGTCCATATGCTTTAGCCCCCTTCCTGCTGGACTTCCTCCATTGCTCCATTAGCACTGCTTTGTTTGAGCACATTGGGCATCATATCCCACCTCAAGGACTTTTTGCCATAGCTGCTTTTTCTGCCTAGAAAAATAGGCAGATATCCTCGTGCCTAATTTCCTTAATACATTCAAACTATGTTTAAATGGCATTCCTAGGGCCGGGGATATGGCTCAGTGGAATAAGCGCTTCCCTGGCAAGTGCAAGGGCTTGAGTTCAATCCCCAGTTCCACAAAAAAAAATTAAAATAAATAAATAAATAAATAAATGGCATTCTTTCAGTGATTCCTACCCCAACAGCCATATTTAAAATATAATACTTCTTTATTCTCCAGTATTCCTGACTTCATTTATCTTACTGTATTCAATGTGCAGTTTTTAATTATTGTTTAATATATAGTATACTGAATCATTTATTATACTTCCTGTCTCTAGAATTTATGATCCATGAAGAGGTTGATTTTGTACTACTTAATATTTCTCTCCCAAGTGCCACAATAAATTTTCATTTGTCTCAGATGTTTTTGTTTTTTTTTCTCTTGGGGCTAGAGTGTACATTTTGTTGTTGTTTATAACACTAATTAAAGTTTATTGCTCTTCTGCTATATAATTTGAATCTATAATAAAAGATAGAGATTATTAGTGCTACTTTTCAGAAGAAAAAAGAAGGGAAATGTGGATTTTTTTTTTGTGGGGAGATATCCTATAGTCACAGTGAAAAATTTAGCTGTGTCAAACTTGAAAGCAGCCTTAAATGTTCCTTCCCTAGGTAATCTTTTAAGGGTAGTTTTAGTAGTAATCCACTTTGATTTCTTCACAGACTGAGAGATAACAAAAATTGTAGTGTGAGGTGAACACTTTTAAAGACAGAATAAGATGGTTATTTTATATGAATTTCATTAAAAGTTACAGAGTATTTGGAAAAAGAAAATTATGTTTTGGCATATTTAGTATTTCAAAAGAATTTTTAAAGCAATGTATAGTGTACAAAAGTAGAGTAACTATGTTTTCCCTTACTTTATAGGACTGTTAGCCTGGCTTGGGGATATAGCTCAGTGGTAGAGCACATGCCTGATACACAAAAAGCCCTGGGCTCAATCCCTTGAACCAAAAAAGATTATTACCCCCTTAAATTCTTGTTTGAGGAAGAAGAACTATGGGTCAGAATTTTAAAGAACCATACACTTTTAGGATATCATTTTTGAAACCTCATCTGACTTTTTGTGTTCGTGTATAGGATGTCCTATAAATTTTGTATTTTGTTTGAATTTTTAGTTTGTTAATATTCTGGCTCTTCACAAATCAAAATCATGCATTTATGGACTGGGGGGTGTAGCTCAATGGTAAAGCATGTGCTTAGCATATGCAAGGCCCTGGGTTCAATCCATAGCACCTCTCCCCCCAAAAAAATGCACTAAAATTTAGTCTTATAAAATGTAAATCATGGTTTTGTTTTGTTCTTTGTCATAGCAGCCTCACGTCAAAGCATTCGCAGAGTATCTCTGGAGGAAGTGTTCGAATTACTAGGAACAGGGTTTCTACGTGGGAGTTCAGGATTTCTTCGGGCCAGTGGCGATATGCTGAAAGGAACCAGTTCAGTCAGTAGAGATGTTCGAGTTGGAGTTACTCAGGTTGGAATCACAAATTAGTATCTAAACGTAATTCTCACTGGCTAAAATGAAAAGTTTAATATCTAACTCTGTGAAGTGATACTGTGTGGGAAATTCCTTATGTACTCATATTTATAAATAGATTAAAAAAAGGCCAACATTTTTTTAAACTACATTACAAGTACCAAAAATCTTAATGCCCACAATATGTTTAATAAATTGAGGACTTTTATTTCCTTTGAAACATGCACAACTTTTTTTGTTTCTAGTCCTTGAACATTAACATGATTTATGGTTTAACATTTCTTCTGTTGTGTTTATTGGTGCTCATACAGCTCATTTTAAGCTACTAGGTACATGTTACTTAGCACGGGTACAATAAATGTTTTTATGTGGTTAATTCTTTTTATTTTTATACATGGTTAACTCTTAAGTAAGGGAGCATATACTCTACTTCAGGGTTTTAATTTTAGTCCTAAGCAGTTTTAAAAGCTAAACCATTAGAATGCAATTAGTGCCATTATGGTTCAAAACAAACATATACTTTTAAAAACTTCATGTTGTCTTATATTCTATGTAGACTTCAAGAAAATGTAAGTCCTAATGCAATTGTCAACTATATATTTTAAGGAATAGATTACATACTTAAGAAAAGTACTTGTTTATGTATATATGGAGTAAAACTGTTAACATTCATGAAAATAAGGAACAGTGATTTATCATTGTAAATGTTCCTCAGATTTCTAAAACTAAATGCTCTTCAGTTATGGTGTTGGAGCTGGAATGCAGTTAATTCTTACAATGATTTCGTATGGATTTTTTTTTCCTGTTTTGTTTTTTGGTCTTTTTGAGACAGGGTTTAGCTCTGCAGTTCGGGCTGGCCTTGAACTCATTTTGTAGCCCAGGCTGGCCTCAAACTTTGTGATCTTTCTTCCTTAGTCTCCTGTGATTTAATATGTTTAAATCAAGTTTTCTTGTTCAGAGTGGTAAATTGCTTGAAGCATTTGTTCAGAAAAGCCACAGGTACATCTTACAAGTTAGCTAGTAATACAAGCTGTGCTAAAATTTGTTTTTCTTTTTTTGTCCCAAAAATTTGTAGTCTGTGCAAAATAAAACAGGGGCAGCATAAATGAAATTGCACTTGAATGAGTATGCTGTTCTCTTTGTCTTTTTTTTTTTTTTTAATTTCATATATTTAGTATAGAGCTTACAGGGTCTCACCACACAGATCAGACTCATAGTGATTGTCCTGTTTTCAGCCTCCCAAGAGCTGGGATTACAGGTGCACACCACCAGGCCCAGTCTCAGTTGCTGTCTCAGCATTCCTAGGGGGTGGTGCCGGCATGGCATACCAGGGATCAAGCCCCAGCTGCTGCACTCTGCCTAATCTGCTGAGCTATTTGGCCAGCCCTCGTCTCTTTGTCTTTAAACAAACAAGTAACGCTACATTTATATTTATCAAGTGGTTATAAATGAGGAAAGAGTATAGTTTGTGGAGAATATTTTAAATATCTTGTAGAAAATATTAATATAGAAGGCCTGCCCATTAGCTCAATTGTACTGCTTGTCATGACATACCAATTACTGACATACTGTCTCTCAAGTAAGTGTTTTTTTTTAAAAAAAAAAAAAAAAGGGTAATAAATGAAAAATAGAGACAAGAAAAAAAATGTCACAGGACTGTCCTGCTACAGTGCTGTATATGGTTAGATTTCTAAATTTCTGTGTAAAAATAGGTAATTGTTTATTCATATTTTTTATTTTTTAAATTTTTTCTTCATATTTTGTGGGGACTTAAGGTTTAACATATCAATACTTGATGGAAAATACCTGTTCTATGTATGCCTAAGATGTTCAATATTCAGACAGATAGTTAGGTTAAACCCAACTGCATATGTTGTAGGATAATAATACGCTTCTCTTCTGGAGGGTTAACAACTTATGTTTGCAGACCAAAAATTAGAGAAAAAGAAAGGCTGCAAGGTCAGCCAACGTCTTGGCCCTAACCTTTAAAGGTCAGTGAAGACTCAAGACATAGGAGAGCCTGTACATGTAACTCAGTTGTGTCCCAAATTTTCTGATCAAGGAGATTATGGGGCCGCAGAGAAATGTGATCTATGATATAGAGTGTGCCTAAGGAGAGTTACATGGAGAGAAAACAATCTCTCAGGCTTTCACAGAGAGCAAATTGTTCAAGCAATGGCCATGACTCATGCACATGGCTGATACTGACAAAGGATCTACAAAGTGCGATACAGGGTTTCAGGATAAATCCTGAGGGGACTTGACTGATCTTATCAGATACAAAAGTCACATATCTTGTTATATAGGTCTTGCTTTATCTTGGTCTTAAGCATCCAGTAGGAAAGTATAAAAACAAGGTATAAGGGGGAAACCATGTTGGTATGCAGGGCTCTAAAGGGCTTAGGTTAACAACTTCTGACATTGCCAGTCCTGCAGATGACCCACTACTATTATGGACTACTGCACTGTATTGGAATATTTTGCTGAATTCACACACCTACAATATTTAAATGACAATGGAATACCATTCTCTGACAAAACTAAACCAAAAAAGGGAATACAAATGAATGACCATTTTGTATCTGTGTATTCAAAATAGGATAGATATACAGCTACGTTCTCTTAATTTAGTGAATAAGATTTGTTTTAATGATGTTTGTGGACAGGATGTCATGTCTGCATCTTGTACAATGAATAACCACTGAGACAACAATGTGCAATGTATTTATTATTGAAACTGTCCTACTGATCGGTTTTGAAACTGTCTCATTCCTATTTATTCTCAATAAAATTATTTTTAAAATATTAATACAGAGTTGAAGTGATTAAATTTTGAAGATAAACCTCCTTTCTTTTTTAGGCTTACGTGGTGTTTGTTTCAACATTAGGAGGAACATGGCTAGAAAAAAATTTTGCTGTCTTTCTTTCTCATATCCTAAGCCTTGTGTCACAGTCGCACCCTAAAGCCACCCAAACTCATATCGATGCTATCTGCTGTCGCCGGTGTGTTTCATTTATCCTCCGAGCTACCATAGGAGGCCTTCTTGGAGAAAAGGCTCAGATGGCTGCTGCAAAGGATATCTGTCAGGCCATCTGGAAACAAAAGAAAGTTGTGGGTATGAATCTATGAAGGCAGCCTGTTTTAACAATGCTAAGGCAACATTATTAATATGAAAGTCTTAAAGGGCAGTGTTGTTTCTCAGAATTTATGTTGTGCTTCCTGTAAGAAGTAATTTTTTAAGCCATTAGTCCATTTTAGATCCTATAATATTGTCCTAAGTCTACTGTCTTGATGTTGTACTGAAATATTTTTTAGTTTCCTATGAGTTCTCCTTTTCAGTGCCTCTTTCTAAAAAACTAATAAGGAATCTGTAATCAGATTGTGTTAATTAGATCTGTTGTATTCAGTTCATTCTCTATTGATGCAGTTCCCCATTTAAGCATTTCAGTTAGTGCTGTAAGAGTTTGATACTTATCATGTGGCACTATATTGGTATTTGCCTTTGTATTTTTTTTCTGCTCCTAACACCCATTGCCTCTCCAAATTTTTTAAAACAGTGATGTATAGTTAATTTTTATGTTTCTGTCAGATGCTGTATTGAGTGATGGTAATTTGGAAACCCGGCCTGGTTCCACAGATGTATCAGCCAGCCAGCATATGTTAGTATGTGCTTTACAAGAACTTGGAAATCTTACATGTAATTTGGGTACCACTGCTGCCCCTTTGCTGCAGGACTCAAGTATAGGTATACACGTATTACTGACTCATCTGAATGCCTTATATTGTATTTGTATTTAATGAAGAAAATCTTCAGATAACTTACTTATTATAGGTTATTAAACTTATTGAAGTTTAATAATAGACTTACTAAAGATAATGAAAGGAAAAGTCATGATCAAGATTGTTTAAAATATGAATATATGTGAGGACTACGCCTGTCATGACAGCACCTGGGAGGCTGATGCACAAGGATCACTGCAAGTTCAAGGCCAGCCTGATCTGTGTAGTGAAATCCTGTCTCAAAAAGACCAAAAAAAAAAAAAAAAAAAAAAACCTGTGTGTATATGTGTGTGTGTTTTAATGATTTCTGGTGTAGACAGAATTGCACCAGCATCATGGCACATGCCTGTAATCCCAGCACTCAGAAACTGAGCAGGAGGATCATTGGGAGTTTGAGGCCAGCCAATTTATGTAACCAGTTCAAAGCTAGCCTGTGCTTATATATAACAAGAACCTGTCTCAAAAAGGAAAAAATAAAATGTGGTTTTTGTCCTTTTTGTCATACATTTCCTGAACAAGAAGGTTTACATTTTATTTGTTCTTATAAGTGATATAAATCTGGAACATATTATTTAAGTATCAAATGATGTAAAATTTATGTTTTGTTCTTGTTTTGGAGTGTTAGGGATGGAACCCAAGGGCTCACGCATGCTAAGAGGGCACTCTGTACACATTTTGAGGGGAATGGTGGTACTATTGCGCCCAGTGGTGCAGTACATACCTAGCCCTTTTTTACTTTTTATCATGAGACTAAGCCTTGCTAAATTGTCCAGGCTGAACTTGAACTTAGCAGTCCTTATGCTTCAGCCTTCAAATGGTTGGGTTTACATGTGTGAACCCCTGTGCCTGACCTGAAGGACTATCTTGAATTATGCCAAGTATAGACTTTTTTTTCTTGTTCTTTGTATTAATTTCTCTTTTCCTCCCTCCCTCCCTCCCTCCCTCTCGCTTTCTTTTCTTTCTCTCTCCCTTCTCTCCCCTGCCCTCTCCCTCTCTCCCCCTCTCTTCCTCTCGTTCTCCCCCTCTCTCCCCCCTCTCCCTTCTCCCCCTCTCTCATCCTCTCTTTGCCTTTCACCCCCCCTCCCTTCCCCCTCATCCCCCCTCCCTCCAGATTTGGGGTTTAAATCAGGGCTTTTTTACTGCTACCATTTGCAGTCTTTTTTGTATTTTTCAGTTTGAAAGAAGGTCTACCTAGGTTGTCTAGGTTGGGTTCAAACTTGCAGTCCTGCCTCAGCTTTCAAAGTGAGATTGCAAGTGTGTGCCACCACTTCCGGCCTTCTAGGTTTAAAAAAAAAAAAAAAAAAAAAGCTACTTTTATTAGTTATGTATTACTTTTTTTTTCATTCTGATTGGCTTTTAATAAAAATAATATATATTATATTCAGGTGACTTCTTTTGAGTGTTTTATGACTGAGTTTTATCTGTACTGCTACATCATTTTTTGTTCTGTTCTTTCAGGCCTTCTTGACAGTGTCATTTCAGTTGTTCTTCATCCCAGCATTTCTGTTCGACTAGCAGCAGCTTGGTGTTTACGCTGCATTGCTGTCGCATTACCTTGCTACCTAATGCCTCTCATAGATCGCTGCCTTGAACGACTTGCTATACTGAAGTCTTTGCCTGAAGCAGTAACTGGCTTTAGTTTTGCTCTGGCAGCTTTGCTGGGAGCAGTGAAACACTGTCCTTTAGGAATTCCTCATGGAATGGGCAAGGTAACAATTTCATCTTTTGTAAATAATAATATAATATTTCAAATTCTTCCTAAAAAATCATAGCTTTTTTAGTACCCAGTCAAAGCTATGCAGGACACTGTAATGATTATATAGCTCACTTATACTGTAGAAAAAATTTTGAAGTCAACTGAAGAAAAAGCTTATGAAACCTAGGACATATAAAATAAGCAAAGTATAGTGCTTGCAAGTTTTTGGAGAATTGTTTCATAGTAAACACATAACTTATGCTTCATTTTGGAGACTATAGGTAACTATTATTTCTTCCTTTCTCATCGTCATTTTTATATCATTGTTGAGTTTTATAGTATGTCCTCCGTGGCATAGGCTCTACAAAAGAATTTTAGAACTTCAGAAATTCCAGAAAACTTGAGCATTTTCAATGTTGTTGGAATGAAATAAGGTAGTTGCAACTTTAGGAGGTCATATTATCATTTAAATTTATTATTTTAGTTACATTCTGAACTAACTCATTACATTTTGTTAAAAATCTTTTTTTTTTAAGAATCTTGATTGCATGTGCCTGATTAAACTTGTTCTCACATCTCATTAATTCAGTTGAGTCTCATTTCCACACTGTATTTGAAACTTCATAGAAAATATCCTCTTGTCTTGATTTGACTAAAATGGTATGTTATGTCCTCATTTTTTAAATGCCATCCATCAACTAATTATATAAACTACAGATAATCCTAAATTAGTAGTAAGTTGATTAATTTTTGTTTGTTTGGCGTAACTAGGGATTGAATTCAGGCCCTTGTGCTTGCCAGGCAAGCGCTTATTCTACTGAGCTATCTCCCTGGTCCTGATTAGTTATTTTAATACTCTGTGTATTCCCCCTAGCTTGAACCACCAGTGGTACATGCATCGTTGTTCATTGGGCAGTTTGTACCACTGGTGTTACAAGCAGATCTAATCAATTTAATTTGATTAGATCTAATCAATCTAATCAATTTATTAGGTCTTTTTAGTAATAAAATTAATAAACAGTTGCCTGATGGGATAGTTATATATGTAAGACTGATTGTTGAAGTCAACCAGCAACAAGATGTACAAATTACAACCCTATTGTAAACATGTTACAATATGCTAGTCTTCATCTTTATGAAGCTTACATATAACTCTTAATACTTGCTGCATTAGTATATGGTAACAGCAGTTTCTCAGACATATTACATCTGGTTCTGTTGTTTCCTAAACTTTTTTTTGCCGACATCTTAATTTCACTCTACTTTGGAACTTACCTCAATACAAGACAATTTTGACCCTGGTGGTATAGTGCCACTGAAGTATTGCAGCTCATGTATAAAATTTTAAAAAGAGTGTGCCTATAATCCTAAGACTAAGAAGACTGAAGGCTTAAGCATCACAACTTTGAAGCCACTTTGGGCTACACAGCAAGTTTAAGGCCAGGCTGGACTATATAATGAGACTGTCTTAAAAATAGAGTGAGATCACTATATGAAGAAAGTTTTCTGATAGTAACTTCAAAGAAGATGGTTAACATTGACTGTAAATTAAAATTTTAGAATGTGCTGCTGAAGTGAGCACAGATTAAAATTTTATACAGCAAAGCCAGGTATGGTGGTGCATGTGGATAGCTCAGCCCTCAGGAGGCTGAGGCAGGAGGATCTCCATGAGTTCAAGGCCAGCCTGGACTACATAGCAAGACCCTGCAAATAATAATAATAATCTGTACAGCTATGTTTGAAATCTTATGGGGCCTGACAAATAGCTCAGTGGACTGAAGTGCCTGCTTAGGCAGATGCAACAGTCAGACTTGCATCTCTGGCATGCCATGCTGGCCCCACCCGCAGGATGCACTGCGATGACAGTTGAGGCTGGGCGTGGTGGTGTGCCCCTGCCAGCTCTTGGGAGGCTGAACACAGGAGAATCACTACAAGTCCGATCTATGTAGTGAGACCCTGTAGACCCTTACTAAAATACAAAAAAAAAAGAAATCTTATGAAACTGCCACATATGCCCCACATAGAATTATAGACTTACTGAGGCACTAATATTCTAGTATTTAACCTTGAAAATTCAGTGTTTTTATACTTTCCTGTATGATTTATCCTGTCTGAATTAATGACAGTCTTTTATCATTTATATGTAAGAGTTAATTTTTCAAGACCTTATAATTGTTGTGTTACTTGTCCACTAAATTATAAATTGATTTTTATTATCTTGTTCTTCCATATGTAAACAGATTATCATGGCATTAGCAGAGGATCTGCTGTGTTCTGCTGCTCAGAACAGTCGCCTTTCAGCTCAGCGCACACAAGCTGGATGGTTGTTGATCGCTGCTCTTATGACACTAGGTAACAGTGCTGTAGAAGGTTACTATAACTATGAAATACTTTGTTTTTGAAACAAAAGGACTAGTATATATTATTTGTGGATATTAAGTTGAATCTATCAGTTTAAATAGCCACACAAATATTTTTTTTTCCTAGAGGTCAGCTTAGAAAGACATTGACCACCCTGCACCCTGGCACAGGCCGGTTGTCCTAGCTACTCAAGAAACTAAAGCAGAAAGAAAGAGAGAGAGAGAGAGAGAGAGAGAGAGAGAAAGAGAAACTAAAGCAGGAGGGTCACATAATCCCAGGAGTTTGAGGCTAGGCTGGGCAGCAAGTGAGACCCTGTCTCAAAAAAAGAAAAATGACATTTACTTACTTTATTGCTAAAAATAATGTTTTCAGATATCTCATTTGAATTTTAAAAACATATTTATTTATTATTTATTTATTTCGTACACAGCTTGGACTTCAGCTTCCCCAGTGCTGGGATTATAGGCGTGCACCACCATGTCCAGTTTTGGTGTCTGGCATGGCGCACCCAGTGTTCCAGGGTGGCATGGCCTGCAGTACCAAAAATTGAACGCAGGTCTTTGTGCTTGGCCAGTCAGGCACTTAGACCACTGAGCTATCTCCCCAGTCCTCATAGTTATATTTTTATGAGTTACAGCTAGGATATTAAATAACTGCTTGGATTTGGTTAATCATTTTGGCACCTAGCTATGTATGAAGTAATTTGATCTAAAGGGGGTTTTAAAATAATCATTAATGAATGAGTGATTTAAGTAATACTATAAGTAATGTTTTTCAGGGTTTTTTTTTTTGTTGTTGTTGTTGGGTTTTGTTTGTTTGTTTTTTGTGGTACAAGGATCGAACTCAGGATCTTACAGGAAGGCAATTATGCCACTCAGCTATCTCCCCGGCCCATAAGTAAAATTTTTAAAAGAAATTTATTGGACTAGATTCCAAGTGCAGCCAAGAGACAAAATCTGGCTTGTGTTACCTGTTTTTATTTTGTTACTTTTTCTTTTAAAAAAATAGGAATACCAAATCAAATCCTTATTTTAATAGGGCCTGTACTCTTATCTAGCATAGAAGGGAGGGTTGGCACTACTGATAGAACCTATTAAACTAAAACCCAAGAAACAATACACAGTAGGTTACACAAGTGTTTCAGTAACAGGGCCAAAAATTTGCTGTGAATGTTATAAGGTCTGTGATTCAAGACATATGTTTTTTGCTAGTTATAAAAAAACAAAAGGAGAATATTTTGTGACAGTAAGAATTATGTGAAAGTCAGCTACTATTTCCCTTCATGGTTGATGGCTGTCTCCTGTACAGCATACTTATTTTCCATGGCCCAAACTCACTCTGCAGAACTTGTTTCTTTTCTTGCTTTTAATAAATACAGAACATTGCTACCTTTAAAGAAAAAAGTAATATTAAAATTTTAAATGTTAAGAATTAAATGAGGGCTGGAGAGATGGCTCAGTGGTCTAAAGCACCTACTGAAACAAGCTTGGCAAAGCACAGGGACCACGGTTCGATCCCCAGCACCACATGCCAGCCAGCCCCGCCCCCTGGTGGGCTGAGCTGGCCACACACACACACAATAAATAAATGTAATAAAGAATTATATGAAAGTTAGATTTCTGTGTCTACAAACAAAGTTTGCTTGTGGCCATCAGGTGCTGCAGAAAGGTTGAATACATAATTGCAAATGTATGGCTTTCTAAGACTCAAATACTTTGTAACAGAAAATGTTAGCTCCTAGCATAGAGCTTTAGTTCATAATGTTATTGCTGTAATGTGAGACGCATTCATTGGCTGTTTCATTAGTGTTGCCATGCCTGCCATATTGATGTTGTTAGTGAATTAAAGGGGAAATGACTTAGGAAAGATTTTAATAAATGTTCTTGAAACAAATACCATTCCTTTTGCAGACTATAAGAGGTACTTTTTCCTTTAACAAAATTAGAGTGTCATATTTTATTGTATATTTATAATCAGTATAAAAGATTAAATTTTTGATGAATGTTTTGATTACATTTTCTGAGGCTTATTCACTTTTCTTGTGCATTTTTCTTTTCCTTTATTACCTTTTTTAAGAGGTCCTAGCACCTCTTAAAAGGGATCAGTGATGAGTTCCAATGTAGTTATTATTTCTTTTTTTTTTTTTTCGTTTTCCTTTTTTTCTTTTGTATTTAGTATAGGGTCTCACTGCACAGATCGGACTCATAGTGATCCTCCTGTTTTCAGCCTCCCAAGTTCTGGGATTACAGGTGTGCACCACTATGCCCAGTCTCAGTCACTGTCTCAATGCACCTAGGGGCGAGGCTTGCAAAGTAGGCCAGAGATTGAACCCCAACCCCTGTGTCTGCCTAAGCAGGCACTTTAATTCACTGAGCTATCTGGCTGACCTGTAGTTATTATTTCTTTTGGTCCTCAAATCATCTCATCTTTGATTATTGAGAACTTAGTTCACATGCCCTTTTAGCGTGAACATAGTTTCTTTAATAACATGTTTGTTTTTGTGTGATGAGCTGTCCCAGCTGTCATGTTGTATATTAACTGCCTCAGGCTCTCTATCAGCTGTTTCTTCAAGGAACCTTGATTGATTTTTGAATAAAGTTTTATCTAACAATTCAAATGCCTTATTAAATAGGGTTTTGGGCTTAATACCTCATCTGTGTTTTCATTATTCCCTTCACAATTTATAATTTGTTCATTATTGTAATGTATACACTATACTGTGTCAACATAGATTTAAGTAAATCACATCAAATCTGCTCCTTGTATATGTGCTGCAACACTTAGTAGCCTTTCTTGTTATACTTTCCAGTTTGTATGATGCTATATGGAACAACTTGGGTTCACCTACAGATATCTCTGTCTTACATAATCTGTGGATGGCTCATGAAATGTGTTTGTGTGGTCTTTGTTAGATGCAGAACTCTTGGATGTGAAGACGTGTGTGTTTTTTAACTTTGTAATTACAATATACTCATTTTTCACAACTTACTTCATTTGCCTCTGAAATGAAATTATCTTTTTTTTAAGAGTAGAAATATTTCCTGGGGACTGACCAAATAGCTCAGCGAATTAAAGCGCCTGCTGAGGCAGACACAGGGGCAGGAAGTTTGATCCGTGGGCCTGCCATGGTGGCGCATGCCTGTAATCCTACTACTTGGGAGGCTGTAAACAGGAGGATCACTATGAGTCTGATTTACACATTGAGACCCTGTATACCCTGTCCTAAACACACACACACACACACACACACACACACACACACACACAAGAATATATTTATTGGAGGAAAGAAAGCTTCTGTCTGAGTGAGGGACAGAAGGGGGACCCAAGCGGTTGTCTCCCAGGAGATGAAATTTTCTTAATGCCTCTTTAGGAATACATGGTGTACTGTTCAGTATTAAGCTAGTGAGATATCTTAAGGAGGATACAAGGGAAAATACTGTACATATGAAATTTCTCTCTGTTATGGATGCTTTCAATGACTACACATTTACTTATTGGTATGTGACTAAATTTTGCTTAGCACTTTCTGTTTCTATAGTTCATTGTGTATAAATGGGAATGTGCATGGATATCTAGTCAGCACACACACACACACAACTCTTTTATAATCACTTATCTTTTATTACTTCACTCCTCTTTCCTTCTTTCATTGCAACTCTGTTGGGTGTTTTGTTAGTACTACTTTATCAAGGAAGTAATGAGTGCACTGGAGATATAGATTGTTGGCAGTGCACTTGCCTAGTTTCATGAGTCCATGGGTTACATTCCTGGAAAAAGTAGTGGGAAGCAAGCAAATATATTTTGCCTTTTCCTAAAGACCAAGTCAGAAGAAAAATGAACCTGCTATTTTAGCACCCTCAGAGCCTAAGGCAAGATCACAAGTTGAGGGCTAGCCTAGGCAACTCAGTGAGACTCTGTCTCAAAATATAAAATTAAAAATCATCAGTACAGAGGCCTTGGGTTGAAGCCCTCATTTTGTTAGGAAAAAAAGAAAGGAGAAAAAATAAGTTATTAGTCTTAATAAATTGCATACATTAAAAAATTTCTCACTATTGCTTTTTCATTTTATTATACCTGTTCTTTTAGAAATAACCAAAATATTTGAGTGATAATTGTATGTCAAACATTTTATAAAAGCATACTATTAGCCAAACACAGTTCTTTATATAAAATTGTGTAAGCCTTAGAAACTCTCCTGTGAGGCAGATAATGTTATTATCTCCATTTATACATGGGAAAACAGAGGCACAAAAGAGTTGTTATTCTTTCAGGCTTACAAAACTAAGACATGCCCCAGAGCCAGGTTGTTAATCTAACCCATATCCTTCCAAGACCCAGTTTAGTTCTATGCTTTGTTGCTGTAGTACAGAAGAGAGATGTAGACAACATTATGTGGGAATAAGAGAAAGGGAGTATTTGTTTACAGGAGAATTTTAGGTTACCCCAGAATATTGCTAGATGAGAAAAGTTGTGAGTCTTAATTTGTAGGTTTCTTGTATAGATTTTTACTCCCTTTAAGTTTCTAATGTTGTTATTGTAAATTCCCTTTTATTATTGGGATTTATTTATTCATACTCACTTCACTGATGATGTTGCTCTCAAATATTTCATGTGTGATTCCTTTGGGAGGGAGGTTATTTTATTTTGGTTTGGGTTTTGGCTTTTTGAGACATGTTCTTGCTTTGTAGTTCAGACTTGCTTTGAACTCACTATGTAACCCAGCCTGATTTCAAATTCATGGCAATACAAGCATGCACCACCATGCCTGGCCATATCTGATTCTTGACCTGAATAAGTTGCTGTCAGAAGTTAACATTAGAGGCAAAGGGATGCAGCTCAGTAGTAGAGTGTATGCTTATCATGCATGAGCCCCTAGATTTAATCCCAGTACCAAAAGTTAGTACCATTACTCTGAAGATCAGAGATATGGTGTTTGCTGTTATATCTTCCATTGATGTAGTATATCATAGACTTTCCAAATACTTCAAAGGGCATGGTATCATTTGGATTTGACAAATAATGCAGGTGGTACCAATGTTATTTTATACATATAATAAACATAGTCCCAGCAGTAGCAAAAGAGTTTACATGGAGCCCAAGGTTTATCATTTGCTCCTTGTTATTCTTGTCTCTAGTACCTTCTTCTACTAATTCACTCAATAGTGGAATCATTTGAAATCAGAAAGTAAGAAAAAAAAAAAAAAAAGAAATTGTAGTAGTAAATTAAAATGGGCCAGCCAAATAGCTCAGCAGATTAAAGTGCCTGCAAGCAGGCCCAGGGGCCAGGAATTTGATCCCTGGGCCTATTGTGCTGGCCCTGCCCCAGGCATGTGCTGAGATGGCAGTTGAAACTGGGCATGGTGGTGCATGCCTGTAATCCCAGCTCTTGGGAGACGGTAAACAGGCAGATCCCTATGACTGCAGTCTAGTAGTGAGACCTGAACGCTCTGTAGACCCTTTCCTCAAATTAAAAAGATCAAATAAAATGTTGGGTTTTTGTTTGTTTGTTTGGGTGTTTTCTTTTGTTGAGATACAGTCTTAATATATACCATAGGCTAGCCTCAAATTTGAGATGATCTTGTCTCAGTCTTCAAAGTCCTTGGATTAAAGACAGCATGTCTGGCTGAAATATGTTTAACAGGGAAATTCCTGTTTAATAATAGAATTTTAAAGAATAACCTCATTGAGCCAATGAAATAGCTCAGCAGACTCAGCACTTGCTTAGGCAAGTGCAGGGACCTGGGTTTGATACCCCATACAACATGCCACACAGGCCCTGACCCTGGGCCTACTGAGCTGGCCTCCAAGACCAGGCATGGTGGTGCAGACCTATAATTCCAGCACTGGGAAGGCTGAAAATAGGAGAATCACTACAAGAGTCTGAACTGCCTAGTGAGAACCTGTACCAAGCACATTAAAATAAATAAATAACCTCTTTAGGTTATTTTGTAATAATAAGTTGAATAATTTTCAGGTCCTGCAGTTGTCAGTCATCACCTTGCTCGAGTTCTGCTGTTGTGGAAGTGTGTCTTCCCAGCATCTCCTAAAGACCTGGAAACAGAAAAGAGCCGAGGAGATTCATTTACATGGCAAGTAACACTGGAAGGACGAGCTGGTGCACTCAGTGGTAGGTTCAGTTCAGTCTTTATCTTGCTTTCTTTTACTTTTTCTCTACATGTAATATTTATTTCACTTAAATTTGGGGAGGAGCAAATCTGCTTCAAATGATTTTTGTAACTGAGCATAGTTGATTTGGTTGACAATGGTAACTGCAGAATGAACTAATAAATCAAACTTGAGAGAGTTCCAATCTTTAAGCTAATGCATGATGCAAACCAGTTGTCAAGATTGCTTTGTCTTAAATAGGTCTCCATTTTTCTCTTTATAAATAGTAGGTTTTTATTTAAATAGCACTAATGAAGCTTCGCACCCATTTAGTCTGTACCTCTATGAATGTTACACTTCTTCATAATACAAGATATGTAGAGTGTTAAAAATACTCTACCATGAAAATTTTAACTGAAGTATGGTGGGTTTCCTGGAAAAACTGAAAAGCATTGGTTTTGGTTTTGTTTGCTTGTGACAATTTTACTCTTAAAAGTAAAAAATCAACCAGGCATGATGCTGCACACCTGTAATCCCAGCACTCAGAAAGTTGAGTCAAGAGGATTGCTGTGAATTTGAAGACACCCTGGGCTCCATTATGAGTTCAAGGCCAGCCTGAATTACACAGCAAGACTCTTTCAATAAAGAAAAAGAAACAAAAACTGTGAACCAAGAAACTTGTAGATTTAATAACCAAATTTAGTAGTGTAACAGGATACAAAATCAACACTCAAAATTCAATAGCATTTCTATATAACAACAACAAACACACAGAAATTATGAAAAGCATGCCTTTCACAGTAACATCAAAAAAATTAAATACTTAAGAATTAATCTCATGGGGGCTAGGAATATAGGTCAGTAGAATAAGTGCTTGCCTGGCAAGCACAAGGGGCTGAGTTCAATTCCCAGTTCCACCAAAAAAAAAGAAAAAGAATCTCACAAAGGAAGTAAAAGATTTATACAATGAAAATTATAGTACTCTGAAAGAGATTGAAGAGGGTTTTAGAAAATGGAAAAATATTCCTTGCTCCTGAATAGAAAGAACCAATGTTGTGAAAATGGCCATACTTCCAAAATTGTTACACAAATTCCATGAAATCCTGGTTAAAATACCCTTAGTATATCACCAATCTCGAGAAAACATTCCTGAAATTCATCTGGAAACAGAAGAGACCTAGAATAGCGAAAGCAATCCTGGGCAACAAAGGAAAGGCAAGAAGCACCACAAACCCTGACTTGAAATTAGCTACAAAGCTACTGTGATAAAATCCGCATAGTCTTGGCAAAAAGACAGCCCTGAGGATCAGTGGAACAGATTAGAAGATGCAGACACATCTACAAACACACTTACCCACCTTATTTTTGACAAAGGGGCTGTCTCAGATGCTTTTCTCACCTTCTGGGACAAAGTACATGACACAGAAAACTAAGGAAGGAAGGGTTTTATTTAGCTTGCAGTTTGTGGAGGTTTCAGTCTATACTCAGTGGGCTCCAAGGCAGAGTGGCACATGGAACAGGGCAGCTGTTAATGGCAGTGAAAAAGCAAATGGAGAAGCTACAGCTGAGGCAACTACCAAGCCTCTCTCCCCTCCACATTGTATGCAAATTACCCACCCTGGGGCAAGTGTAGCACTCACACCTATAATCCCCACATTGGATTATGAATTAATCACAAACTCTAGAACTCATGACTGCATGAGGATTTGGGGGAACACCTAGACACAAACCATAACAGGGGCCAAACATGTTCACTAGTAGAAAGCCTCTTTAATAAATGATACTGGAAATACTGCCTTTCCACATGCCGAAGACTAAAACTAGACCCATGTCTATCACCATGCACTAAACTAAAATCAAAATGGATCAAAGATTTACATACTAAAACAGAAACACTAACTCTATTGGAGGAGTAAGTAGGTAGAAATCTTGTAAACGGGTGGGTAGAAGGGGAGAGTTCATGAACAAAAAACGTACTGCAGGGAAAATACTTTAAAGAATCAACAATTGTGATCTCATCTTTTTGCAGTTTCTTCACATCAAAAATCAGCAGAGTAAAAAGAAAACCCATGAGTTGGGGGAAAATTGTAGTTAATTACCCTGAGACAAAAGACTTCTGTCTAAAACATATAATGAATTTTTAAAAAATCAGGCCACCCCAAATTCAAAGACTCAGTCCAAAAATGGGCATCTGAGATGAATACACACTCCTCATAGGAAGAAATACAAATGACAAGTAAATATATGAAAAAATGTTCAGCATCATTGATCATTCAAGAGGTGTCAATTAGAACAACACTGAGGTTCCATCTCATCCTAAAAAGAATAGCTGTCATCAAGAAGCCAAACAATAATGAATACTGCTGAGGCTGTGAGGAAAAAGGAATCCTTCTGCACTGTTGGTGGGAATGTAGACTGGTACAACCACTATGGAAATCAACATGGGGATTGCTTAAAAAGCTAGCATTGTAGGTCCTGTTTGACCCAGCTATTCCCCTCCTAGCCAAATGAACAGAAAACATTGTACCACAGGGATATATGTGCACTCATGTTTATAGCAGCACAATTTGTCTTGGCTAAATTTTGCAAACAGGGCTGGGGAGATGGCTCAGTGCAATAAGTGCTTCCCTGGCAAGCACAAGGACCTGAGTTCAATCCCCGGTTCCACCAAAAAAAATAAATAAATTAATTAATTAATTAATTAATTAAATTTTGCGAACAACCCAAATGCCCATTAACTGAGGAATAAATATAAAAGATACATTTTTACACAATGAAGTATTACTCAGCTTTAAAAAAAGATAAACTTAATAAAATAAATAGATGCAACTAGGTAAGTGAAATAAAGCAGACCCACATGTGCAAACATTATATTGTTTTACTAGTGTAAGAACCTGAAAGGATAAATAAAATCTGAAAGGTAGAGTAGATACTGTGAAAGGGAAAGACTGTTCAATGGGAAGGAAAAAGTAGGATGAAGAAAAGGACCAAAAAAAGGGAAAATATATATATTTATGTATGTATACAGAATAGCTTGGGTAATTGTATTGCTACTTTGTGCTGCTCTATTAAAAAGGAGCAGTTAATGCTTTTTTTTTTTTCCTTTTTCTTCTTTTTAATTTCTTGATGCTACTGAGCTATATCCATGGCCTTGAATTCCTGATGTTTTGCTTAGTAAAATTCTGTATAATTTCTTTTTTTTTTCTTAATGTGTTTAGGGCAGGGTTTACAGGGTGTTACTACATAGATCATACTTATAATAACTCTCCTGTTTTCAGCCTCCCAAGCATGGGGATTACAGGTGTGTACCACCACACCCAGTCTCAAATCACCATGTCAGTGCTCCCCAGGGGCAGGGTGAGCACACATGCTGGGATCGAATCCTGGGTTCTGTGCTCTGCCTAAGTATGCGTTTTAGTCCACTGAGCTATCTGGCCTGCCCCCCTTTTTTTTTTTTACCTTTCTTTATTCTCTTTAAAAATTTTTTTTAAAGTTTTTTTTTTTTTAAGTAAAAAATCAATTGTCAATGTGATCTCAAAATTCATACATGAAGTAACTCCAGATGAAAAGGTTCTTGGGCAACAGAGATAGCTCAACAGCATAATCACCAGCCTGGCAAGTGCAATGTCCTGAGTTTGATCCCTGGTACAATAATGATAATAACAAGAACAACAACAATCATAAAAAAAAGGTTCTTCACTAAGAAGATAACAATGTACAATGTATTGGTTATCGAAAATGTCCTATTAATCAGCTTTGAAAAAAAATACAAATTCTCTATGATGATTGTAATTGTTACATATATCTAAAATATACCAATAGAATCTAATATAAAACCAAAAAAAAAAAAAAAAAGTTCTTGGGCTGGTAAGATGGCTCAGTGATCTAGAGCACCTACTTAGAACAAACTTAACAAAGCACAGGGACTGCGGTTCAATCCCCCAGCACCACATGCCAGCCATCCCCACCCCCTGGTGGGCTGAGCTGGTCACACACACACATAATAAATAAATAAATAAGTAAGTAAGTAAATAAATAAATAAATAAAAGTTCTTGGTTTCTTAACAGTGTTGATTTCCAACATGCTGTCAACAAGGTTGGGTCAACAAGGTTGTACAGAAACTAGTGTGAAATTGACAAATTTGAAAGTCTAAGCTTACTTGTTTCTTAACCTTTGAGCTCAAAGGCTGAGCAAAATTCCAGAAGAACAGCATCTCTTAGTTTAGTTATTGGTCCCTTTTAATTATGCTAGGAAGGATTTTTTTGTTCTTTGTTTTTTGGTTTTTGTTGTTTTTCTTTTAATCATTAGAGACAGAAGGCACTAGCTTCTTTTTATACTGGACTTTATAGAGGTTTTGTTTTGTTTTGTTTTGGCGCATTTCTTTATTTGCTAATAAAAATACACATGTTGAACCATAATCATGTTCCTTTCCTGGTTGATTATGCTATGTTGGATAATAGTATGCTTTCTTTTTCAGCTATCAAGAGCTTTGTTTCTCACTGTGGTGATCTCCTTTCTGAGGAAGTAATTCAGCATCTTCTTCTACCACTTCCTTGTGCTGTGGATTTGTTAACCCAGTAAGGATTATCTGTTCAACTGATAAAATTTTCTAAGAGCAATTAGTTACCCTTTGATTATGTAATATCCCTAGAATGCACTGATAGAGCAAGTGTCTATGGTTGATTGATAATTTTCTGTTTGTGAAAGAAGGCAGTCATTTACTTGTCATTGTTTTTTAAGCTTAGGTTAGGATTTTGAAAGAAAAATGCCTATTGAAAGGGAAGGAAAATTATTTAGTGAATAATGTACTTTTCTTACAAGCAGATTTAACAGGAAATTAAATATTAACCTTGTTAACTTTTCAGGTAGGCATTGTATTGGTTGGTTACTGCTGTTCTGCGTTTGTCAGAACCAGATGCTTGTAAACAGGTTCAGTTGTTTTGTTTGCTTGTATTTTTCTTAAGTTTGAGTTATACATACATGATAGAGAAAAACTAATAAATATCATGAATACTTATAATTTCCAAATTAATAGTGTGTATAAAAACTCTTCCCCCAAAGTGTTTAATGGTACAGTATTTTACATATGTAAAAATACATTAAGATATGGCTTGTAGGGGGCCAGGGAGATGGCTCAGTAGAATAAGCATTTGCCTGGCAAGCACAAGGTCCTGAGTTCAATTTCTGGTACTGCAAAAAAAAAAAAAAAAAAGATATGGCTTATAAAGTATAATAATAAAGTGAACTGTGAACTCAGCATATGAGGTATGATCAGAATACCTTGGTTTATGAACTGAAATTCGTTTTCAATTTTGGGGAAGATGACTGCCTTTGTATTTGTGTGGGGAAGATGGCTATGCTGTGTTTGTCACCCAGTGCAGAGTTTGTGAACAGTGTAAAATTTTGCCAAATGCTTTGTTTGTGAACTAAAGTTTTTTGCCAACAGACGCATTCGTGAATTATAGTATATGGTAACCATTACAGTTTTTACAATAAAAGGCACATTGCTGTTAATCCTCCTCTCAGTGCCCTTACAGCAAACACGCATCAGTTTTACCAGTTTTTTGAACCAGTTCTGAGAGTCCTTGTTTGTGTCTTTACACATTGTAACAAAAGTATGATGAATGCTGCTGTGAGTGCTACCCAGCAGCCAGGTGGTCTTGTAAAAATGTTGTTACGTCATTATCCACATTATTTACTGGACCTGAGATCATGCAAGTTGTGGGTCTTCCCCAGAGTCAAAATAGGCACCAAAGGTAAATGTGTTGAACTGATTCAGGATGTCAAGGCAGCTGTGATAGAGCAGCTAAACAGGCCTTCCAGAATTGCTTCAGAAAGTGGCAAGAATAATGAGATAAGTGTGAGTGGAATGTTTTGAGGGGGATTAGTGGCAATATGAAAAATTTTAAACATTCACCATGATATTCAGTCATTCTTCTAAGTAGAGCAAAGGCTATAAATGCTCCCATAAAGTGCCAAATAGTAAATATTTTAGAGCCATTGTAACCTACAGGCTTTATGTTACAATTGCTAGACTCTGTCATAGTAGCTCAAAAGTAGTCTTAGCTACTGAATATGACTGTGTGCATTAACACTAGACATATCTTTAACCTGTTTCTCTTTTAGATTGTCATTCTTTTGCCATTCATCAAATACTAAAACGTCTATAGTTTTTTGATAAGCAGACATTCTTGATTTAAATGTCAGGTGTATCCATCTTTTACTTTTTGATTTGTATATTATGTGTTTTGTTTTTAAAAGCTTTTCTGCAAAGTTATATTTTGTTATATTTCTCTTTGAAATGTTTCAAGTTTTATCTTTGATATTTAAGTCTTTAATCCATCTGGAACTGATTTTTCTTCTTCAAGTAAGGGAGACCTCTCTCTTAGTCTGTGCTGCCACAGCAAAGTACCTTAGACCATGTGATTTATAATGATCAGAATTTATTTCTCAGAGTTCTCAAAGCTAGGAGTTCAAGATCAAGATTTTGGTATGTAGTGTGAGCCTGGTCTCTGCTTTTAAGAAAGCACCTTATTACTATGTACTCTGGAGAAGATAGATGCTGTGTCCTACATGGCAGAAAGGACAGAGGACAAAAAGAACCCAAACTTCCCCTATCAAACCTTTTATAAAGACATTATTCTTTTGGTAGTAATTATTAAAAAACTGTGATGTGTATAATTGTTGCTTCTATAGTTGATCCGATATCCAGGCATTTTGCTAAGTTCTTCTTTTGAACTTAAATTCTTCATTTAATTCTGGATTTTATTTTTACATTATAGTACCTTATTCATATTCTCTGTATACAGTGGCATATGCTTGCGTTGACCCACCTGCTGAGGAGGCCTCGCTTGAGGCTAGTTCCAGACAATGTAGTAAGACCCAGTATTTTAAACAAAGAGGGGGATAGAGGGGCAAGTGGTTAAAGAGAAATAAGAAATTCTTCTTATATTTAACAAAACTTTATTATACACTTTTAGTAGATTATCTTTATTAGGCTAAGAGAATAATCTTACATTCATCATGATTTTTGTTTTTTTATCATGAGTAGATTTTATTTTTTATAAAATAGTTTAATCCAATAAGCTTTTGTTTTTCATTTATGTATTTGGTACAGGGTCTCACTATGCAGCTCAGACTCATAGTAATATCCCTGTTTTCAGCCTCCCCAGTCTTGCTCCACAGCAAGACTCTGTCTCAAAAAAAAAAAAAAAAGATGTATAAGTATTTCATCAAATTCTGGCGGAGCATTTGTAAAGATTGGAGTTACCTGTCACAATCATCTGTCTAGGACAGGGGAGATGGCTCAGTGGAATAAGTGCTTCCCTGGCAATCGCAAGGGCCTGAGTTCAATCCCTGGTTCCACCCCCTCCCCCCCCAAAAAAAGGAAACACAATCATCTGTCTATAAAACATCCATGAGTTGGGATTTTTTTGTTGTTGTTTAGGAGAAGACTTTCATTTAAAACTACATGTTTCATTTCTTTGGTTGATTTTTTCTTTTAGTTTACAAATAGTTTTATTTCATATCAGTAATTGTATATGAAATGAGTATTTGAGTAAAAAGCAAGTATAGAGGAGGGACAGCTTTCATTTAAGTTTATTATTTAGTGGAAATGCTTAAAAATATATCCAGTAGTGTATACAAAACATTTTTAAGAAGTTTACTGGTATTAAAATATGTACCTATGAAAAGCTAAAGGTTTATTTACATTGAAATTTTAAAATCCTTTTTATGTATTTATTTATATTTTTATTTCTTTTTAATTTTTCAAGAGAGGACGAATTAGAATTAAAACAAAAAATTACAAGTGATACAGATTTTCACTTAACAAAGTAATATGAGGGCTGGAGAGATGGCTCAGTGGTCTAAAGCGCCTACTTAGAACAAGCTTAGCAAAGCATCAGGGACCGCGGTTCAATCCCCCAGCACCACATGCCAGCCAGCCCCGCCCCCTGGTGGGCTGAGCTGGCCACACACACACACCACACTCTCTCTCTCTCTCTCTCTCTCTCTCTCTCTCTCTCAAATAAAAAAAAATAAAAACAAAGTAATATGAATTTCACAGTATTTGTTGTAATGCATAGTGTTGTCTTCCAACCAGTTATTCATATTACCAGATATATGCATGTAAAATTGGAAGAAGAAAAAAAATAAATGTTTAAGAAATTAAGAAGAGAAAAAGTACAAGCAATTGAAAAAAGGATACGAAACAAATTAAAGCATTAATTGCTTCTTTCCATAAACTAGGAGAAATGCACAGTACAGCTGTCCAAAGCATCCTGCTTATATACATAGATATATCTCTTTCTCCCACTCCCTCCTGTCCTTCTCTAAACTCAGTAACTCTTTCTTTTTTAACAAGTTCATTTCCTTTTACAGTATCTATTGTACCCTTCAGATTCCATTTTTCTCTTTCAGATTCTCACACTTAGGAGACAATATGATGTTTGCACATGCGAGTCTGATTTATCTCACTAAAGAGTATGTTCTCTAGTTACATCCATTAACTAACAAAAGACTTAAATTTATCTTGTTTTATAGCTGAATAATATTCCACTGTGTAAAAATACATTTTCTTTATTCATTCTTCTGTTGATAAACATCTGAGTTGTCTCCAGGATTTAGCTTTAATAAATTGTACTGCTATAAACATGGGTGTACGTGTATGGCTGTGGTATGAGGTTTTCAGTTTTTCAGGAAAAATACCCAGGAGGGGAATAGCTGGCATGAATGGGATTTCCAATCCTAGCTTTTTGAAGGAATCTCCACACTGATTTCTGTAGTAGTTGTACCAGTCTGCATTCCCACCAACAGTACCGAAGAATTCCTTTTTCTTCACAGTCTCTGCAGCATTTGTTACTGGCTGACTTCTTAATGTTAGCCATTCTTTCTGCAGTGAGATGGAATCTCAGTATTGTTTTAATTTGCATTTCTCAAGTGACTAATGATGTTGAACATTTTTTCATATATTTACTTGCCATTTGTAGTTCTTCCTCTGAGAAGTGTGTATTCATCTCAGATGCCCATTTTTGGATTGGGTCTTTGAATTGGGAGGGGCTGTGATTTTATTTCTTTGTATGTTCTCAATAGAAGGCCTTTGTCAGAGGAACAATTGACTATAATTTTTTTTCCCAATGTATTACTTTTCTTTCGACTCCTTTGGAGATTTGCTTTGAAGTACAGAAACTTTTCAGAAGGATGAGATCCCAGTTGTTCATTCTTTAAAGTATTTACCGTGCGGTCTGGTTTTTGTTCATGAACTCTCTACGTACCCCTCTCTAAGATTTCTACCTACATTTTCCTCCAGAAGATTTACTGTTTCTGTTTTAATATTTGAATCTTTGATCCATTTTGATTGTGCATGGTAATAGGCATGGCTCTAGTTTTAGCCTTCAGCATGTGGAAAGCCAGCTTTTCTAGTACCATTTATTAAAGAGGTATCTTTCTTGCAGTTAGTCTGTTTGGTATCTTTATCAAAAATAAGGCAGCTGTGTGTTTACAGTTGTGTCTGCATCTTCTAATCTGTTCCATTGATCCTCAAGTCTGTCTCTATGCCAGTACCATGCTGATTTTA